AATGAAAATGAAGTTGTTAATTTTGTCATTTTGTTCATTGTCACACATATGGGCAGCAATGGAAAACATTTTACTCAGAAGAGATGGCTGTTGAAAACGGCACGTGCTTTTTATTTTTCTTTTTTTGTAAACCTGGCTGTAATATGACCAACACTAGCAGGAAAAAGTACAAGATCAACAAAAGCAAGAAAATGATTCATTAAGAGAGAAGAAGGCTTTGCTGGCTGATGACACTCCAGAAGAAATTTAGCTGGGTTGCAGACAAAAAAATCATCAAATAGATGTAAAAATGCCACGTCGACTCAACTTCATGGTCATTTTGGAGAAAAGTTTGGAGATGCAAAAGGACTACACATGTTTGAAGCTCCTCATCAAAAATTACCTGACGTCCTGAAGTGTGACTGAATGGATCTTGTCCTTGACTACAGACCAGCGTACTCAATCAGCGTGAGGCTAAAAGTGTCCCTACCAGCCTCACAACTGAAGACACCGTCAGAAATAGCAGTCTGGAGTGATCTACTGAAAGGTAAATACTGTTTAACTGAAAAGTCCCACTGGCATGCTAATCTGAAGACAGTTAAGCAGTTAACATTAGTTTCTCTTAAAGCAGAGGTTTCAAATTTAAACTCCTTAAGAAGAAAACCACCTCAAGACACGTGTGTAGTTCATTGACAGGCTTTAATCTAACAGTTTTCTCTTGTACATGTACAGATCACAAACTGTCAACAAAAAGGTGCTTATTCAGCAAACAGCTTAAACAGTAATGCTTCCCGATTACACAAAGGCAGCCATACAGCCAACCCACAACAATATGTTTCACAAGCCTGAAAATGAGTCTTTTAGTTCTAGCACAGATTCCCACGCAACTCAAAGTGAAAGCTTCACAAGCCTGAACCAAGCAATTCAATGACTTAATTCGTTTAGCTGTACCACACATTCCTCCTGCTGCTAAAACCATCTGGAAAACATACAACTTCAAAAAAACTTTGCTATGATAAAAACTGACTTCACAGCCATATTTTGCTGTAGTTCCATTCATCTTTTTGCTTCAGTGATGTTCTTTATATCTCCATCACTCACTGCTGCAGGTAGCCAGGCCAAACTGTTTCTCAAAGTTTTCTGTTTGTGATTTTGTGTTTTAGATCGTCACGTGGAGTTCTGGCATGAGCCATCAATATGGAGCTTCCCTGTCTTTCCCAGCCTTATAGATACATCCAAGGTGAGTGACCTGTTGGCAGCATGCTGCTTAGTTTGTTTGCCTTGAGGGGTTTTTGGGTTTTTTTTGGGAACTAGACAACCAGACAACCAGCCCAGAAACACTACTTACTTGAACAAATTATTACTATTTTATTAATGTACGAGGCCAGTAAATTGTTGTTTCTCAGATTTATGATGGCACCCGTCACTAGTTGGGGCTTTGACAGTTTTGGACAAACATAACACCGATGACAGCCGTGACAACCAGTGACATTTTGAAGGACTGTGACAATAACAAATAATTAGAAAATAAGTGGTTGTAAACTCACGTTAAACCACCTGATATCTCACAGGTGTGAAATGTGAGGGGGGGAAATAAGAAAGCAAACCAACTATACATTTCAGGAATATTTAAAATAAAATTTTACCATTGAAGAAATTCACTACACCTTTTGGATGCAGACTACTTTAAGAATAGTATTTAACCTCCTCCGTTACACAGACTGATTATATTTTAATGTTTTCAGAGTGTTTTTGTACTTTTTCCCCTCCTGCTTAAACAGCTAGAAAATTATTCACCAGCAATATTCCTTACACGAGTACATTAATTGTCTCTCTTTGTTAAAGACGTTGATGAAAAATCCTGTAACCAGGGGGTGACTGCCCTGACCGCAAAAAAAGATTTTTGGCCTTCTAGAAGTCTATGACCTCCGACCTTTGTAAGTATTTTCTGATGAGTTCATGAGCTCAGTCACTCGCTTTGTGTTATACTTAATACTAAAAGGAGGATTATCCAGGAAATACCTGCATAAGCATTGTGTGAGGGGTCAGATCCACCTGCTTTTTAAAGACTGACCATTGAGGGCTGAGATCTGAAAAGTTTTCTGTTCATGGCTTCAAAATGTTAATCTGAGCCATTTAATCATCACTTTTACCTTATGTAATGATCCTGTGTGATGTTGGAAAATACAGATTTGGTCAGTTTGGTCAGTCACTTAAAAAGCTAAAAGTCACAAACTGATATCATCTAGGAGCTCTAATGAGGCAGGAATGGATCTCCATGAATCAGGATTTGACCCAGACACTGATGTCCATCATGCCACATAATTGATAATAATCAGTTTTATCATGTATTTGTTTGTTTGTTTTTTTCCCCACAGGAAAGAGGAAATGAGGGGTGCATGTCCTTCGTGCACTGATGGAGATGTTTACGAGGCTAAGGAGAAACCTGAACACTTTTCCCAGATGTTCAGGACATGAAGAAAGGGCGGCTGCTGCACAGAACCAGAATCAGGCAATCCACGTTTGTTTTCTAAAGAGGATTTCTACCCAAAGTTGGGCAGATTTTCTCAAAGAAAATGCTCCTGTGTCTCCACCAATGGATAAAAATATTGTATTTTAAGTCTGTAAAATATTCTGTTTACTATTATAATGATGTGTATGTGTAGTCTTAAATCTTCTTTGATAATAGGCTTTTTAACAAAACTGGCTGATTTTAATGCTGTTAACTGTGCAGTTAAGTGATCATGCTCATTTAATCAAATTAAAACCTACTGATGTTCTGACCTTCATAGTCAATCTAGTATCTAACTGTAGTAGTATGTTACAAGCAAAATGTATTTTAAGTATCACAATTACTCTTATAATCTCATACAATGTTGTGAATCAATGTTTGTTTCATTTGTACAGTCATTAGCAGCAGTCTTTAAGCAATTAGTTAGCAACTTGCAGTTATCTATAGAAAGAGATATTATGTAAAAATGCAAAAAAAATCTGAGCTAATAGACTCAACATTTAATATAGCATCATGCACGCACTCATACATTACTTTTATTTCTATAGAAATCTGTATTAGGACCTGTGTTTAACTGTATTTTAAATAAATTAACCTTAAAAAAAGAATTCTTTGTTTACCTCAAACATTCAGGCGATCATACTTTATGATCGCTGAGATTTTGATGAAGTGATAAATGGATAAAATTCTGATGTTCTGAACCGAGACCAACAAGGTCCAATCCAGCCCACTAGACTGCTTTTCAAATTTTGAAGACTGCAGAGAATTGATTGTTCTCTATAAATTGTGAACCCATGTGACCACAAACTTACTCGTTTCAGTTTTTCTGTAATTTAGCCTTTTTTTCTTGAGACCTCACAGGTTTTTTAAGGCATGCTTATTAAATATAAATCAACAGTAATTAATTATTATGGAATAATTTAATGTCCTGGCTCACTTGAGATCAAACTGAATTCTATATGGTTCATGGACTTGAACACCTCTGGAGTGCAATAGTACCTATGCAAACCACAGCTTATGATACAAATTCAGGTCAGTTTATTTATGTAGTGAACTTTTATGGTAATAATAATAATAATAATAATAATACATTTTATTTATGAGCGCCTTTCAAGTCACCCAAGGACACTTTACAATAGGATAAAACACTTAGTAAAACAATGACAGAATAAGAACAATAAAACAAAAGCACAAGATAAAATTAACAAACAGTGGATTCACAGTGAATATGCAGATTTGAACAGATGAGTTTTGAGTTGGGATTTAAACTGGGGGAGAGGACCAGTGTTTCTTATTTCTGGAAGCAGAGCAGCTGAAAGCTCTGCTTCCCATGGTGGTGAGGCGGAAGGAAGGTACAGCAAGCTGGATAGAAGAAGAACGAAGTGAACAGGCAGAACAGGTAGTGGTTAACAGGTCAGAAAGGTAAGGAGGAGCAAGGTTATGAATGGCCTTG